CAACCGGAAACCAGGTCATAACAGCCACGATGCACTCGATGTTTTGCTGCTAACTCAGAGGTTCGAACTGAGAAGGACTACTGACTAACGAGAGAAAACACCACCAGCGGCGGCAACCGTAAGAACTGCGAAAGCTCATGAGAGCGAGAGAGACAAAGAGACAAAGAGACAAAGAGACAAAGAGACAAAGAGACAAAGAGAGAAAGAGAGAAAGAAGGAGACAAACCCTAAACCCTAAACCCCCAAACCCTAAACCGACAGACACCGGTAGCAAGCCTCGAGCTGCCTGTCGAGTTCGGTGAGAACTTCAAGGGTGAGAAGAAAACATTCCAACTCCACGACCGGAGCAACAGCATGGGAGCGAAGTCTTGCAGACTACTTTGCTCAGGCTTCTGAAACTAAAGCTCCCTGCCTCATGTACATAAACGCTAAGCCATAAACCAACTAAACCTCCCTCCTAAACCCCTAATCCAAAAACGCGAAAACGCTGAAGAAACCAAACTAAACGTCCTTGCCTGGTGTACCTGCAAGGCTGCCGGTCCGGTGAGCGCCGCGCTTCTTGGAAATGGTGGCCAGGCCTCGAAATTGGACTCTCAGGTTCAGGGTGTAGGGTTTAGGGGTTTAGGGTGTAAGGGTTTAGGGTGTAGGGGTTTAGGGTTTAGGGGTTTGGGGGTTTAGGGTGTAGGGGTTTTAGGGTTTAGGGGTGTAGGGGTGTTAGGGTTTAGGGACTCTTTGGCCGACGATGACTGCCACGACGACCACGCACTTGCTTGCCTCCAATGCGGCCACATGCTGCTTCAGCTTCTTTTTTACCAAAAGAAGTCATATACAAGTAATATTTAAAAAAAAGTAAAAGTTTTTGCATAGTATGTAAGAATAGTTTAGCGTATAGAGGATTAGCCAAAGCGTCTTGAATCGCAAGCTGGCAACCACGGACTCACAAATTGGTATCCTCACGAATTGTCAATTAGCTACATGGCAAATGCGGTAAATGACAAAGCGAAACCACCCTTGGGTTTAGGGTTTAGGGCTCCGGTCCCTCAACCGTAAACCCTAAACCCTAAGTCCTGAACTCTCAACATCGGCCACCAATATCGAAAGATGGAACTGATTCCAACTGAGGCTTAATCCCTCCTGGCCCGGTTTCCCACAAAAACTCTTTCCAGGAGGCACCCCGAGTCTTCCGACGCTCTGATATCCGTCTGGAGCTCTACAGCATCAACCCCGAGGCTCCTTGGTGTTGCCTGTGCTTCCCCTGGACCCTACAGTAGAAGCCAGAAAGTGGGAATATCATTATCGTAATCCCTTTAAGGTAAATTATAGGGGATCCTACCATTAATCCATATTCCAACTTTCTGGAGTTCCCTTTAGACCCTAAACCCCTCAACCCTCAACTCCTTTTTTGTAGGTGACCACATAACTGAGGTCACGGCCGAAGTCGGCGACTTTGGCGGTGCCGCTGCGGGAGAGCCTGACGCCATAAAGACCCCCAGGCACTAGGGGGCACTAGGTATCAAACCTCTGATCCTACAGAAGGCTGAGACCTAAAACCCTGAACCCGGAATTCAGACCCTGCATCCTGAACCTCTCAACGAGAAGCAATACAAAAGTCGTGCGAAAAGAGCAGACAACAAGCCTCAAGAGAAGTTGTCATCGCCATCATCATCATCGTCGTCATCATCGTCATCATGATCATCATTATCGCCATCATCATAGCCATCATTATCATCAACATCATCATTATCCCCATGACTATCACCTATAATCAGCGTTATCATCGCCATCGTCGCCTTGTGTTGGCCGATTCATGCTTAGTAGGTATGGAGTACTGCTTACTCGTGTGTATGCGTTCGGCTTTCTCCTCAGTATCGCAACCCCCCTTTCCGGATGATGGCCAATGATAAGCTCAGAACACTCCTTTGATGTCAACTGTCCTGGGTGAACCTTTTTATCTTCGATTTGGTTTTGCTTGCCGCTTCTCGTGCCTCGGCGTTGTCAAGTTCTCTTGACTAGTAGCGACACATTGGCTAGGTTTTGCATCAAACATGACTGCTGTGACTCTCTTGGTCCTGACCTGTCGCCGAATCAAAGCGTTGTCCGACAGGTACCATAGTTCCGATACCGTGCTAAGATGATTCTGCTACCGTTCTGGTACGCTCCTCCAGAGGTGCTGTCAGTCTGTGCTGGCATCATGGCTGATTCTTTAACCCTCTCACCGACTCCTGAGTAGACGGATCCAAACACATCTGTCGCTATCTGTGATGTCTCTATGACTGCTTCAGTCTGTTGGTCTCGACGAAAACATGGCTAGCATTCGTCTCGCTGCAAACAGCATCCCTGCTATCACCACTGCGGTGATACCCAGTGCCTCTACAAGCACATCACCACTCTGAGCGTGATGATAGTGTGTGAGAACTTTCTGTCTAATGCAGCCGTGACGCAAGATGTTCATAGACTTGATGTCTCGGTGGAAAACCTGAGAAGCTCAGCATGGTAGCAATCGGTGACACCGCAGACCCAACAGGGTCATGGGGTCAGGGGTCTTCTTGCACCGGAGCCACATAGGGAGCTACTGCAGTCAAACTCCGAGGACTCACGATGGGATACATGGCGGGTCCAGTCGATGTTGGGCGCTACCCGCCCTTGCCCCAGAAGCACCCTAAACCCTAAACCCTAAACCCCTACACCCTAAACCCTAAACCCTATCACTTGGGTCTTCGTGCCCCAACCTAGAACTCTGAACAGCGGCCATCCGCTCTGGGGCCAATGGGGAGTTTCCGAAAATTAGGGGTACCTTATTTTGGGGGTACCTTTCAAGGGACCTATAAGGGTTCCTACACGGGATCTACAGGGTTTAGGGTTTGGGGGTTTCCGAAAATTAGGGGGACCTTATTTTGGGGGTCCTTATAGTAAGGATCCTACTATTTAGGGTACTATATTAGGGTCCCCTATTTTCGGAAACTCCCATATCTTACAACCGGATGTCCATCCCCGACACTCTGCTTTGAAGGACTCTCCGGCACTGGGACGACCCGCTCATCTCTGACAATCAAAACCGTGCAGCTACTTAAACGATCATGGGACTTAGTAACTAGGATTATAAATAAGGTAACTACACTTATAATTACTTATAACTTATAACCCCGGTCAAAGTACTTATAACCTTACTTACTAAGCCCCCTGATCCTCCAAGTAATCGAGCCATCCACGGCGCACCCCCACATCTTGGGACCCTGAATCCCAAATCCTGAAGACCTAAGTCTAAGCCCCGCAACTCCTCAAAGCAGCAACAAGACCATGAGTCTCAAACGCACCCGACGCCAGAGCCCTGAACCCCCAGTTGCGCGTGAAGCCCACCTTCGGAGTCTGAAAGTGCAGGTGCGACAAGCCTGGGAATTCTGAGCTTGGGACTCTGGGCTTAGGGCTTTAAGGTTTAGGGTTTAGGGTGGGGTGTAGAGTTCCACTCTTGGTTTTGAAGTAGTATTCGGGCTGAGGGCTTAGATTTCTGAGTGAAGGGAGTTCAGGTGCCTGGAACCCTTTTCAGCGACTTCCGTGTGGAAGCTTAGTCCAGAAGACCCTATCTTAGTAGCCCCTATAGCAACCGTAACCTTATCGGATCCCTGACAGGCGACTCCTCACAGGTATCCTGAAGAGAATGGGTCCCAGGTAGAATCTGAGAGACGAGCCCTCCCACCAGGTTTAGGGTTCGAACGTTCAGGGCTTTGTGCCTGTTCAGTTCCTAGGTTCCTGAGTAGCCCCTGATTGGTTTGGCTTTAAGCCCAAAAAGAAACAGTGCCAAACCCTGAAGACTACAACCCTAAACCCAAAGCCCTTAAACCCAGGCCCTAAACCCTAAACTAAACCCTAAACCCCTAAACCCCTACAACCCAAACCCCAATGCCCCTAAACCCTAAGCCCCAAACCCCAATGCCCCCAAACCCCTAAACCCCTTTTCAGTTCATAAGTCTGCCCTGGGGCTTGGGGTTTGGGGCAGGATCTGCGGTCCTCCAAAACCGGCTTGGGCAGGCTTGGGGTAACCCAAACATCCCCAAACCCAACCACCCCCCCACCGCAACCCGCCTAAGCCCTAACCCTAAAGCCCCTAAACCCCAACCCTAAACCCAAACCTCAAATCATAAAACCCGTCCCAGAAGCCACAAGCTGCATCAAACGCCACACAAAGCCGGTCGCGCCAAGCGAACTCCTCCGGCTTGGCGTTTAGGGTTTAGGGTTTAGGGTCCCTAAACCCTAAAGCCCTAAAGCCTGGGTTCAGAGCTTGTGGGTTCGAGTTTGACATCATGCGCCGGGGCGCAGAGCCGTGTGCTCGCGTTGTGCGTGAACCCACCCAGGCCAGCCAAATTAAGCATCAACCGGCTGAAACTCTGAACTCCCAATCCGAGACTCGAAACCTGAAACCAACCCTAAACCGTGCAAATGTGGGAGTCCCCGAAAATAGGGGACCCTAAGATAGTACCCAAAATAATAGGATCCTTATCATAAGGGCCCCCAAATAAGGTACCCCTAATTTTCGGAAACTCCCATGTGGCGATTGCTTCAAGTTTTGCAGGCTGGGGGCTCTAGGGTTAAGTTTAAGGGCTTCCTTCATTTTTTGAGGGCCCTTTTCCTCCCTGCTACAGTCGGAGTACCTATCAGGTAAAGGCCTTCAAGGTTTAGAGTTTGAGATCTACTTGTAGCGGTTCGGAGCTTCAGGGCTAGGCGAAGGTCGAGGAACGGAGGACTTAGTCATGGTATGCCAGAGTGGTAGGTGACGATGACGACGATGATGATGATGATGATGAGAATGAGGATGAGGACTATGACTATAATGATCGCGGTGGCAGTAGTAGCAGAAGTAATCGTCGTCGCCGTCGTCTTCGTCGTCGTCTTGCTATGTGTTGTGCTTGTGGTGCTTGCGCGGTTTGTGGTGTTTGTGCTGTTTGTCCTGCTGGTGCTGGTGCCGGTGAGCATGATGAATATCACCACGTTGGTTCATTTTGCGGCTAGGTGCGGTGATGTGGAAGATAGCCTGCGTCGGATTAGGATGAAGACTTGCGAGAAGAAGGAGGATGGATTGCGACTGCTTGGCTTCCTTCCGGCCCTTGCGCGAGTCGTAGATGCGATTGAAGAGGTCACCGCCCTCCATCAGCTCGTACCTGTGTGTGCCACAGACAAGCACATGTTGAAAGCCCAACTCCACGAAGCTCAACTTGATTCCCAAACCTGCTGTACTCCTCCAATGTGGGAGTTTCCGAATATAGGGGACCCTAAGATAGCACCCTAAATCGTAGGATCACCCACAAGAAGGTACCTAACTTTTGGAAACTCCAATATCTACTCCGGATCGAAGCAAAACTTACATGCTAAACACAGGGATTGGGGTTTTGAGTGAGCGACTACGAGAAGGAGGTACCGGAGTTTATTGATGTAAGTGCAAGCAACAGTATCGAAGGATTATATTGGGAAAGAATTACACCGGGAAAGCTGAAAGTTCAGGACTGTTCTGTGGAGTTGCCCACCTAGGTCTACGCCTTTCGGTGGCGAACAGCCATACCGTAACCAACACTGCGGAAACCCTCTGAACTAAACCCTAAACCCTAAACCCTAAACCCTAAACCCTAAACCCTAAACCCCTAAACCCTAAACCCTAAACCCTAAACCCTAAACCCTAAACCCCTAAACTCTAAGCCAACTCTGATCCCCATCCAACCGTGGGTTTCCCTCGGAGGTTCTGCATCAGAGCACACGAGGAAGCGTTGGTTGCCATTCCGTGCAAAGCCCATGAGCGTGACGAGGTTCGGGTGACGGAACATGCTCAAGACGCGGACCTGGCCACTTGGATTTAGCAGGTTTCCCGGGTTTTCAGGACTGGGATTCGCGAGGGGGGGATCGATTTTCGATAAGAAACCCGAAACTGTAAACCCTACACCCTAAACTTTAAACCCAAAACCCTAAACCCTAATCCCTAAACCCCTTTTGTGGGGAAGTCCCTTTAGCTCTGATTGCCGTCTTCACTGGGTGCCGCGGAGACGTAAGAAGCTTCCTGCAAGGGTCCACCCGGCTCAGGGTCTTAAGAAGACCATGTCTTTGGGGTGCTTGGAACACGGGCTTTACTGTAGGGTTTAGGGTATAGGGTATCTTCAATGTGCATGACGATGCCCCTAGGAAGCCCTGTGGTGTAGAACTGCAATGGAAAACGCTGAACTGCATATCGAAAGCCCCTAGGACCAAACTGAAAGAACCTTGAACTTCTGCGCAGCAACCTCGGACTGCAAGCCATTCATTTGATAACTTCCAAGGGTTGACAGCTGCAGATTGCCTCAATCATACTTTGTGTTAAGGGCATTGGCAGGAGTGGAAGCCGTGTTAGGAGTGGTAGCAATGGCTTCAGCGGTAGTAGTCATAGTAGTCACTTGGTAGTCGTCTGCCTTCACATTGGCAGTGGAAAATCTACTACAACAGATTACAATACAATATAAAAACTTGTAATACGAAGCAATATAGCATAGAACCATATACTGTCATGTAATACACTATAGAATACATAGGAAGACTTGTAGAGCCAGCCGCGGCAGCAGTCATAAGCAGTACTAATACGAAGCCGCTGCGCAATCGCAACAGCACAGAGGGTTTAGGAGTGTAGGGGTTTAGGGTTTAGGGTTTGGGGGTTTAGGGTTTGGGGGTTTAGGGTGTTGGGGTTTAGAGGTTCATGGTTCGGGGGTTAAGGGGTTTAGAGGTTCAGGGTTTGGGGGTTTAGGGCGCAGGTGGTGCAAGGGTTTAAAGGCTTAGGGGTTTAAGGCTTAAAGTGCGGAGGCTCTTTCTCCGCAGGCAAATGCAGGTCCGGGCCCCGCCACACACGGCCTACACTACGCTGGTTGATGCCATGTATGGCACCTGCACTTGCCTGCTGAGAAAGAGCGACCGTACTAACAAAAACCTAACCTAAACCGGGTTTAGGGTTCGTCGCTTCTCATGTGCTAAGCCCACCTCCTCCTCGAAGCCCGACTCCTTGGGGGTGGTCAATGCCTCGCATCTTCAGTCGACGTGACGTGACGTTCCCAGCCCCCATACAGTTACACACAGCATACTGTTATGTAGTGTAGTATACTACAGTACGTACTGTAGTATACCATCTTATGTAGCGTCGTCTACTATAGTATGCAACTGAGTACACTATAGTATGAACTGTCAAGCCAAGGCAACATGCAACAACACCTGCGAGGGGTTCAGGCTTTGGGCCTCGATCCTCCAAAGTCCTGCAGGGCATAGGGCATAGGGCATATGGGCGGTTGTCAAAACTATGGTCCTTTTTGGGGTACCCTAAATACTAGGTGCCGTATTATAGTAAGGACCCAAAAAGGGACCCTAATTTTGACAACTACCCGTATAAGTCCCCAAGCAGCTTCTTCCCTCAAAGAAACCGTAGCTTTGCACTGCACAGTCTGCTTCTAAAAACAGATTCCAAGGGCCTAGCCCTGCACCGCCCAAACCTTAAATGCTAAACCCTAAACCCATAACCCATAAACCCTAAACCCAAAACCCCAAACCCATATTGATGCGTGTCAAGAGATCATGCGATCCACTCCACGATGTGAGAACATGTGTTGACAGACTCACAGGCAGAAGGACTGTGCTGACCCGGGTGGGCGGGTGGGCCACGACTACATTGCCCGCTTTTGGAGTTTCTGGGGCCGTGTTGGCCACACACCGAGCTGCAGTTGATGATTGGGTTCCTCGGTGCTCCTGCACTCTTGAAGGTCGGATCTGAGACCACCGAACAGCATAGCATCAATACTGCTTTCAAACCCAAACATCTCTTGACCCGCCACCTGTACCTCAGATAAAAGCGGGCCTTGATCGCAATTTCCGTTCCATCCGGTCGCTCTCCGCGGTAAACCTTCGATAGGTCTTCGCTTCGGTTCAGGGCGCGAAATGAAAAACTTGCTCTAGAAGCCGGCATAGGAGAGTTAGGATTTAGGCTTTAGGGGTTTGCTGTTTGCTGTTTTAGGGTTTAGGATTTGAAGTAACTATGTTCCTGAACCTATCCGGTGTGAAAAGCTCAGACAAGCCGGGCTACGCTCTGATTTCACAGGCGTTTAGCGCTGTCATCGGCAGAGTAGTCGTGGCAAGGGCTGTTGGTGAATACAAATGAATATAACCTTACGAAAGACTTACAAAACTCTGCTAATTCATACTCTTCTGATACCATTTACAGGCTTTATCATATCCCTACAACCACCTGGTGCTCCCCATACGGAAATCCTTGAAAAAATTGGTTTCGGGATTCGGGCTCAGGTACTTGAGGGTTCGGCGTTTAGGGCCCTTGGGGTTTAGGGCTTAACGCTTAGGATTTATGGCGTCGGGTTTGGGGCTTAGGGCGTTTAGGGCTTGGGGTTCCGTAGCTTCAGGGGGCCCTTCTCCTGAACTCACCAGGGTCCCTGGGCTCCTTAAAGGGATCTACACTTAAAGGATCATGGGACTTAGTAACTAGGGTTATAATTAAGGTAACTATACTTATAAATACTTATAGCCCCAGTTAGGGGACTTATAACCTTACTTACTAAGTCCCCTGATCCTCTAAGTAGGGTTCCTTCAAGGGATCTACAGGGTTTAGGGTGTAGGGTTTATTTGGAGGGGCCGGGGACTTAGTAAGTAGGTTACAAGTAGAGTTATAAGTACCCTAAATGGAGTTACCCCAATTATAACCCTACTTATAACCTACTTACCCCGTCCCCTGCCCCTCCAAGTGGTTCGTAGTTTGTCGCTTAGGCTTTGATGTTTTTTGAGCTGCTGTCTGCAACCAAGGTTTGGGGGGTTGAGAGTTTTTGGGGGGGTTAGGGTTTTTTGAAAGTTGACCTGCACCCTTACTCCGAAAAAGCGCTGGCATTTTAGGGTTTAGGGTTTAGGGTCTTCGGATTCGGGGTGACTAAGAAATGAGAGTGCGATATTTTTCCCAGGACCTAGGGAGCATTGCAGTCTCGGGGCAGTTCCGAAGCCACCTTCTCCCATGCGCCGACACCTGGGGCTTACACAGGTGCACCCCGGAAATAGGGGGGTGTTTAGGTTTTAGGGCCTTTAAGGTTTTTGGTTTAGAGTTGAGGGCCTGAGAAAAAGTCCTCAAAGCCGGAACAGTGACAGGACGATTGTCATCTTGAAACCCAGATTGATGTAGAACTGTCGAATCTGTCGAAATAGCAGGTAGCAGCAGTAGTAGTACACAAGTAGGCGGTGTAGGATGATGCTGACAGTAATGCACGCGTGCCTATGAAATGCCTTGCAAGATTGACAAGCAAACGACTGTAGAACTACATCGATTGCTGCAATTTCTTGTGCTGCTGATAGCAATAGCAGCTGTGATAATCACTGCAAGAATGTTACCAACAGCGAGTCACAACTAGGCAATTTGAAGAGTAATACTTTTGCTACTACGACCCTAAACTATGGGAATTATGGTATATTCCTTATTATGGGTAATGCAGGATGTATATCATCAACCGTAGTAATTCCTGTCATTGAAACAGTGGTTGTAGCACTAGGCACATTAGTAGCGACACTCGCTCGCCACCTTCCGAAGCACCGTAACGCAACCTCCAGTGCGGCCTCACTTCAGCAGTAACTTCTGATATCTGCTGACATCAAAATGGCCCTATCAAGAACGAAAGAGGACATCACCTAAATAAATATCCGAAAAAGGGCAGATGGGCTCGGAAACAGTCCATCCAGCTTGCCTCCACCCTGAAACCCCTACATCCTCAAGCATCCACACCGAAAGAGTGACCATACCGAAATTGTTTTGAAACCCGAAGCCCCCCCCCCCACTGAGACGCAAGCTCCGCGAAGTTGTCGGTGGCCCTCTGCAGCTCTTGATATCCCCAAACCAGGCCTGGCATCAGGTGCTTCTGTTGGTGTCGGGTTCATTTGGCTTTGGGGCTTCGGGGTTTAGGATTCAGGATTGGGGGTTAGGGTTTGGCGTGCTGGCTTAACTCCATGATGTTTAATCCAAGAGGCCTGAAATACTTAAATCTAAACTAACCATAACCCCAAACAGCTAAGCAACTCTAAACCCTAAGTCTCAAACATCTCGCAGCAAGCCTGAACACTTAAAAAAAAAACACCTTAAAGCCTGACGCGCACTTGCAGGCTTCTCAGACAGCCAGATAATCCCAAGTTCCGGGATATACTTGGGTAGTTCTTTGAATTAGGGTCCTTTTGGTAGGTCGTACGGCACCCTTATAAACAGGACCCTGAAAGGGATCCAGGTTTACAGAACTACCCACTTTAAATCATAATATCCTCTTACCCCAGTTCCTTAGTTGAAGGGTTCGGGGCTCCGTGGGTTGCTGTTTTTGAAGCGATAGAGATCATACTAACCAAGTTTACTGAAGAATGTCAACGGATCCCAAACCCTAAATCCTGCACCCTAAACCCTGAACCCTAAACCCTAAACCCGTTTGGGCTCTGCGCTTCGGTACTTCCGAGTCAGTGGCTGTATTTGTTCAGAGTGGCGTCCTCCGGTTCGTTCCGGCCTGGCCGATTGCAATTTCTGGGTTTAGGGGGTTAAGGGTTTAGGGGTAAAGGGGTAAAGGGGTTTAGGGTTTAGGGGTCTAGGGGTTTAGGGGTAAAGGGGTTTAGGGTTTAGGATATTGCAATTTCACGGGATCCCGAAATCCTGAGTTCAGGGTTTCAGGATGCAGGGTTTAGGGTTTAAGGTTTCAGGATACAGGGTTTAGGGTTTCGGGTGGTGGGTTGGGGGTTTCAGGATTGGGGGTTTGGGCTGATGGCTTAGACTTGAGGGGTTTTTGGGTTCCCCTGCACCTGAAGTTAAATCTGAAAACCCTTCATCCTAGAAATCCCCACTCCGCGGAAACACTCTGGAAGTTAAACAGCTTCGGGTTTAAGGTTTAGAGGTTTAGGCTTTGGGGCTCAGGAATCAGCAAAGGATTGGAAGTATGATCCTAAACTCTGAACTGCCTGAAACCGAAAACCCTAAACCCGAATCCTCACAGAACACCAAGTCGATAGCGCAGGTTTGTGACTTTAGGGTGTTTCGGCCTAGGGTGTCAGGGTCCGTTCAGAGTGGCTGGGTCGTGGAGTCGTCTTCCGAAGATAGGCCTTAGCAACCCGGCTAAACCCTAAACCCTAAACCGCAAAGTTTTCGCAAACAAGTGCCAAAAAACCGAGAAAAGTACAGGGTTGAGAGTGTTTGGGCTGCAGAGTTGCGCAGTACTCGAACCGGCTTGCATCACAATCCATGTCTGAAGCGTGTTTTTTCGATGACAAGACCATAAACCCCAAACCCCTAAACCTCAAAAAGCCCCCGAACTCTGTAAATCGAAGCTGCTTGAACCACCACAGATCATAGAATTTACCAGTGGTTCGGCTCAGGGGGTGCTCAGACCGTAGGGGTTTCGGGTGTAGCGGCTTAGGATATCCAGGCCTCCAGCGGCTCCAAACAGTTTGGCCTTGGTCTGCTGTTCTCAGAAACACGATGACTCTGAGGTTTGGCTGTCCTCCTCCTCCTCCCCAGTGTTTGGGGTTTTAGGGTTTAGGGTTCAGGCCATCTTCTCCGTGTTCTAGCCCTCATCCCTCATACCGTCGCCTGCCTCAGGCCCATCCCTTCGTCTAGCTGTCACACCACCCACTCTCAACCCCTCCTCCCTCGTCACCAATCCTCAGGCTCCTCCAGCCTTGAGGTTGTCCCGATCCTCAACATCGAGGAGTACGACCACTGCTGCTGCTGCTGCTGCTGCTGCTGCAACTGTATGCGCACAAATACGTTTACGGCTGAGTGTAGTTCTGCATGTGTGGCTGGGTTCAAGACTAGGTGTAGGGATTCCACTTACCAAGTACGTTCATCTACGGATCTACGTTAGCTGCCGTGGTTCCTGCTGCTTTTGCTGCTGCTGCTGCTGCTACTGCTGCTGCTACTGCTACTGCTTCTGCTGCTGCGACTGCGACTACTACGACTACGACCATGACTATGACTATGACTATATGACTACGACTCTGACTCTGACTCTGACTATGACTACTACTACTACTACTACTACTACTACTACTACTACTACTACTACTGCGACGACGACGACGACAACGCTTACGCGTACAGCTACGACTACGCCTACGCTCTCGACTACGACTACGACTACGACTATCACCACGACTGTGACTACGACTACGGCCAGTAATAAGAATAATAGTCACAATAAAAGAAACAACAATAATAATGGTAAGTAATCATACCTACGACCACCACTCTGCTATGCGCACTGATGATACAAGCAGGGCAACCTACCTGGCATCTAAGGCGCAGACCATCCTCGATGAACCCGTAGACAGAAAGGAGAGAAAGAGGAACTCTTGTTCGAGTGCTGCGATCGGAGCCAGGAAGCAGGGCCGCGCAATGTTCAGTAGGCCAAGAACTTCGGCGGTTCAGGGTTAAGGGTTTTGCGATTAGGGTTCGTAGAAGATTTACGTATTAAGATCTATGGATTTTCCTTGAAGATATCTTGTCTTCACATCCTCACTGCAATCTTCAACAAGTACACCAAAAAATGATGTCGGAGTAGCAGGCTTCAGCTTCGGGCTAGCGGCTAGAGGAAAGTCCAGTCCAGGAATTACCCAGGTTGGCCCTTTAAAGCCTCTGAAAAATATTCGTAAATAGGGTCCTATTAAGCGTAAAATATACCAAAGGCCTACCTAGCTACTGTTTAGGTCCGGGGCTGTCAAAGGGTCAAGCGGGCCTGGCGTTTCTCACAAACTCTTTGGCGCTTGTAGAGGGGTTGGTGTAATACAGGTTCGAGGCGTAGCATGGGAGGCTCCTACACGAAACTGGATGTCTAGATTTCCTCAAGCTGCCTTGAGGGTGCTGGACCCTCTGTTTCGCAGGGATTGGCCTGCAAATTCTCGCCACCACTGCTCTTTCTCAAGGTAAAAGCCAGAAAGTTGGAATATGATTATCTTAAACCCTTTATGGTAAATTATAGGGTATCCTACCTTGAAACCATATTCCAACTTTCTGGAGTTCCCTGTATGCCTTGAGGGTAAGCCCTGACCCTGCACCCCTGTCCGGTGGCACCCACATCTGCACGGGTTTCTGCTCCCGGTGCCAACCCCCAGATGTCATGAGACCTCAGACAGAACCTGAAACCCCCAAAAATCCCCCCGAAAAGCCCTAAACCCGGCTCAAAATCCCCCAAAAATCACCCAAAAAGCTCTAAACCCAGCTCTCCGGATCCAGGGGGAGTTCCCGCTCTGGTGGCCGCCTGCAGCGAAGCGTTGTTGCAAATCTTCTGAAAACTTGAAGCCTAAACATTCAAAGAAAAGCGGCTGGTTGCCCTGAAGCTGGAGCACTTTCAATCAAGAACCCTATAAAAAACAAGCAGTAGCGCTACGCCACAAACTCCATGCTGCCGGAACCCTCGTCCACTTCTCCACTCTTGGCTTCATCGTCACCACCAACAAGCCATGGGAATGGCACTTCAAAACCTCCCGAAACGAACTTGCTTAAGCCCGCTCGCCTGGATTTAACAACTCAATGATCTGCGGCTTGTCAAGCCCAAGCTCTCACAAACACGAAAGCCGTGGCCCAGGCGTGGCTGAAGCATCGCTTTCCTGCGACAAAGCTAGGGAAGCTTCCATGACCCCTATAAAGGTACTTTGGGCATGTTCTTGGGTGTGACATGTCGTGTGTTTCTCGTTTTTCTGGGGCTTGGGGTTCGGAGCTTCGGTTGAAATGGGCTCTGCGATGCCACAGCAAGTCAATGCTGTCCCACCACTGCGTGGAGGCACCGTCCTTCTGACGGGACATAGCCAGCAAACGCAACGGTATCGAGTTGAGGATGTGAATTCATCTGAACATGACATCTGACAAACCACAAAGCTCGAAAGATTGTGACATCACCCATCGTGTCTCCATGGTACCGTCTGCTTCCAGTCTGCTGTCTTTGAGCATCAGCTTCGAACGGCGACAAGCGTCAGCATCGGCAGGGCCGTTATGCAAGACATGCGAACATCCTTCGAAAAGACAACATGCGGTGATGCGTCTGTTTCCAATCGGTTTCTGCTCTCCTGAACAAACTGTACGAAATCAGCCTCCAAGCCTACATGCGGCAAGGCCAACGGAAATCAGTAGAATCACGGCTTCACAATGTTGGCTCAAAGCTGTTCCGCTGACAACCACACTCAGTCCAGACGTGGAAGCAATGGAAGCTTCAGAGCTAACGAAAAGCTCAGCAGAAACGGCCGGTATTTGTCAGCAGAGAGCCCTGAAACCAGGCGTGCGGTGTAGGAAACAACTCGCAGAAAAAAACCCTAAACCTTAATTACTATTAGTATTAATACTAATAATAGTATTGGTATTAGTATTAGTACTATTTTAGTATTATTAGTGGAAGTGTAGGAGTCCGAAACCTCTGAATCTGACAGGATCGCTGTCAGAAACCCACGGCTTCCAGATCGGGTTCCTGCATTAGCCTACTGATCCGTCTCATCCCCAGAGACTCCAATAATAGGGTTTAGGGTTTAGGGTAGTTAAGGAATATTCCGTAAATTATAGGAGGGTCCTTAATATGATTTAAGGTATACTCCCTAATTAAGGGATATTGGAGTCTCTGGGTCAGCCTCTAACAGTCCTTGGAGTCGGGAGTTGAACGATGCGTTTGAGTTTAGCTTCTTTATTTCAGGGGTTTTTATCTGGGGTTATTTTCGGGTGTCACGACTCGGTGCTTGGCTTAGTTTCGCTTGAGAGTACTGTGGGACCACGGCCAAGATAAAATAGACAGCTACACATGACATACTATATGATACATGACTTGTGCACTGTAGACGATGTTACATGCCACAGAACATACTCGAATCACAGACTGTCTGCTACTTGCAAAACTGCAAACTATATACCACCCACAATATGAAACTTCTCCACTTTGGAAATGACCCAAAAAAGCCTGGCTCCTTTCGGCACGCAGGGAACGCAGCATAGTTGCCCAGCTGCGCTTGTCGCACATATGGGAGGCTCTGCTACTTGCACCACACTAACCGCAAAAGTTTGAATAAGCACAAGACGGATGCAAGTAGAATGACCGGTGCGCTTCCGCTCCAGCTCCGGGGTTTCAAGGAGCATGCTTTTGGAAGCCCGTCTGCGAGACCCGAGCGCCCTGTAGCGAAAAGAGTGATGAAAAGAGTTTCGTATCTTTCTCAGAAAGCACGTCAAGATTGATGCCGTGCTTGCAGGCATCCAATGGCTGCGTGGTGCTGGTGCCAGGCCCGGGCCCCGCCAAGACCGAGCGGAGGCCCCAAAAACCGTACACGACTGATGCTACCAAAATGATCCCGGCGACGAGTTTCACAGAAAGGCCTGCGCTTGGTTGCCGGTGCTCAAGCTTAAAAAATGCCAGAGAAGGCAAAAGCAGTACAGTCAAGTTTGCGGTCACAGTCCCTACGAAATCAACGATCCAGGAGACACGGCCCCCTGTGGCGAAGACCACAGCACTGACTGCAGCGGTGAGCAGCGCCTTGCACGTCAGATCCGCCAAGGGCCGCCTTGCGCCAAGCATTTTGCCCATGGAGGCTACGACCAAGGGGAAGCCAGCGAGAACCCTTGCAGACACAAAGAGGAGGCTTAATGCCCTCGCCACGTGGTTACCAGCTCCAGGAAGCACTTGGCCGGCTAAGTCCCGGCCCACGTTGTTGACAATCCTATACTGAACTTAGAACCCTAGCAAAAATTATAATTTTAGCTGTTTCTTAGGGATTATAATAACCAAAAATTAAAAAATATTTCTAAGTACCCCAAAGAATCGACTGCGCAGTGCTTTGACCGAAACAGCCGTAGACCAGCAAGCCACAGAAAAGCAGGACCACGGTCGCTCCTGAGGTGCTGTAGAAAGCCACATGAGGCCACTGCTTTCGGTCTTCCAGCATTTGGAAGACAATGGCTCCTGATGAATGTGCCACCATGGCAAACAGCCCTGCGCCCGCCGCCGACGGGAGGCCATGCAAGTCCAAGAATTGCGTTTCAACTGCATGCTGGTTCGCATTCTGGTTCGCAAGCTGGTATATGGTCACGAAGAGCACCAAGAACAACATCAGCAAACAGGCCATGCTGGCTGCTGCAATGGCAGGTAGAGATCGCACAGAAACGAAGCACAGTAGAAAACAGCAAGCCGTCACCGTGGTGGCAATCTGGATGTGATGAGCTTCGGGCAAGAGCGATGCAAGGTGAGTATATGTCAAGCTCGCACAAGACACAGCATTTCCAAACAGTTCTGAAAAAATCGCCACAAAGAATATCACGCTGCCTGCCTTGCCAAACGCACTGTACCCAAGGAAACTCCAATCTCTGCGAAGCCTTGGAACACCTGTCTCTTCTGCACGATCATCAAGGGCCAGCAGCAACGCACCCATAAGCCAAAGCGTGAAGCCTGCCATCATAGCGATGCCAACTAGGACAAAGGCGAAGCACCAACCCGACTGCACGAAAGCGTACGGGATCACCAGCGGGCCCGTGCCCAGAAAAGCGTTTAGCATGGTTATGGATCCTTCCCACTTCGACAATCCACGAGGGCCATTTACTTTGGGAGTGTCGCCACCAACAGCTTCCTCCGGAGGTTCCAGGTGATCATCATATGAGTCTTCGGAGTTGGACTCTTCGTACTTGTCCGCCATGATATGAAAGGGCTTGGGGTTTAGGGGACGCAGTTATGATACGAACAATCAGGAGCTCGGTGCAACTCTACAGTTTCTACACCCTGGTCATCTCTCTCCCTGTCTTTTCTTAGCAAGTAGGTATAGGGTTTAGGGGGTTGGGTCCTCGCTGCCCATCAACGAAAAGGGCTAGCCCCCGACACACCTGTTGTGGCATCCGAAACCTGCTAGAATGTCGAGGGGCACATGGGGGCCTCAAGATTTTGTCATGAGCTCTGCCTTGAGAGCCCAGACCTTGCACGACACATGTATGAGAAATGGGTCACGAAGGCATGCCATGCAAGTCACATGGGCACAACATCAAAAGACGTGAATCGCGTGCAGAAAATTCAAGCAGTGTTGCAAAGACATTGAAACACTTACAGCCTTTATCATATCCCTACAACCACCTGGTGCTCCCCATACGGAAATCCTTGAAAAAATTGGTTTCGGGATTCGGGCTCAGGTACTTGAGGGTTCGGCGTTTAGGGCCTTTGGGGTTTAGGGCTTAACGCTTAGGATTTATGGCGTCGGGTTTGGGGCTTAGGGCGTTTGGGGCTTGGGGTTCCGTAGCTTCAGGGGCCCCCCTCCAGAACCCACCAGGCTCCCCGGGCTCCTTAAAGGGATCTATACTTAAAGGATCATGGGACTTAGTAACTAAGGTTATAATTAAGGTAACTATACTTATAACTACTTATAACCCCAGTTAGGGGACTTATAACCTTACTTACTAAGTCCCCTGATCCTCTAAGTAGGGTTCCTTCAAGGGATCTATAGGGTTTAGGGTGTAGGGTTTATTTGGAGGGGCCGGGGACTTAGTAAGTAGGTTACAAGTAGAGTTATAAGTACCCTAAATGGAGTTACCCCAATTACAACCCTACTTATAACCTACTTACCTACTTACTACGTCCCCTGCCCCTCCAAGTGGTTCGTAGTTTGTCGCTTAGGCTTTGATGCTTTTTGAGCTGCTCTCTGCAACCAAGGTTTGGGGGGTTGAGAGTTTTCTGGGGTTAGGGTTGTTTAAAGTTGACCTGCACCGCTTCTCCGAAAAAGCGCTGGCATTTTAGGGTTTAGGGTTTAGGGTTTAGGGTCTTCGGTTTCGGGGTGACTAAGACATGAGAGAGCGATATTTTTCCCAGGACCTAGGGAGCGTTGCAGTCTCGGGGCAGTTCCGAAGCCACCTTCTCCCATGCGCCGACACCTGGGGCTTACACAGGCGCACCCCGGAAATAGGGGGGTTTAGGTTTTAGGGTTTAGGGTTGAGGGCCTGACAAAAAATCCTCAAAGCCGGATCAGTGACAGGACGATTGTCATCCTGAAACCCAGATTGATGTAGAACTGTCGAACGATAACTAGCAGGTAGCAGCAGCAGTAGTACACAAGTAGGCGGTGTAGGATAATGCTGACAGTAATGCACACGTGCCTATGAGATATCTTGCAAGATTGACAAGCAAACGACTGTAAAACTACATCGATTGCTACAATTTCTTGTGCTGCTGATAGCAATAGCAGCTGTGATAATCATAGCAAGAATTTTACCAACAGCGATTCACAACTAGGCAATGTGAAGAGCAATACTTTTGCTACTACGACCCTAAACTATGGTAATTATGGTATATTCCTTATTATGGGTAATGCAGGATGTATATCATCAACCGTAGTAATTCCTGTCATTGAAACAGTGGTTGTAGCACTAGGCACATTAGTAGCGACACTCGCTCGCCATCTTACGAATTACCCTAGCGCAACCTCCAGCGCGGCCTCACTTCAGTAGTAACTGCTGATATCTGCTGACATCAAAATGGCCCTATCAAGAACGAAAGAGGACATCACCAAAATAAATATCAGAAAAAGGGCAGATGGGCTCGGAAACAGTCCATCCAGCTTGCCTCCACCCTGAAACCCCTACATCCTCAAGCATCCACACCGAAAGAGTGACCATACCGAAATTGCTTTGAAACCCGAAGCCCCCCCCCCACTGAGACGCAAGCTCCGCGAAGTTGTCGGTGGCCCTCTGCAGCTCTTGATATCCCCAAACCAGGCCTGGCATCAGGTGCTTCTGTTGGTGTCGGGTTCATTTGGCTTTGGGGCTTCGGGGTTCAGGATTCAGGATTGGGGGTTTAGGGTTTGGCGTGCTGGCTTAACTCCATGATGTTTAATCCAAGAGGCCCGAAATACTTAAATCTAAACTAACCATAACCCCAAACAGCTAAGCAACTCTAAACCCTAAGTCTCAAACATCTCGCAGCAAGCCTGAACACTTAAAAAAAAAAAACACCTTAAAGCCTGACGCACACTTGCAGGCTTCTCAGACAGCCAGATAATCCCAAGTTCCGGGATATACTTGGGCAGTTCTTTGAATTAGGATCCTTTTGGTAGGTCGTACGGCACCCTTATAAACAGGACCCTGAAAGGGATCCAGGTTTACAGAACTACCCACTTTAAATCATAATATCCTCTTACCCCTAGAGCTTCAGGCCACTTCCTTAGTTGAAGGGTTCGGGGCTCCGTGGGTTGCTGTTTTTGAAGCGATAGAGATCATACTAACCAAGTTTACTGAAGAATGTCAACGGATCCCAAACCCTAAATCCTGCACCCTAAACCCTGAACCCTAAACCCTAAACCCGTTTGGGCTCTGCGCTTCGGTACTTCCGAGTCAGTGGCTGTATTTGTTCAGAGTGGCGTCCTCCGGTTCGTTCCGGCCTGGCCGATTGCAATTTCTGGGTTTAGGGGGTTAAGGGTTTAGGGGTAAAGGGGTAAAGGGGTTTAGGGTTTAGGGGTCTAGGGGTTTAGGGGTAAAGGGGTTTAGGGTTTAGGATATTGCAATTTCACGGGATCCCGAAATCCTGAGTTCAGGGTTTCAGGATGCAGGCTTTAGGGTTTAAGGTTTCAGGATACAGGGTTTAGGGTTTCGGGTGGTGGGTTGGGGGTTTCAGGATTGGGGGTTTGGGCTGATGGCTTAGACTTGAGGGGTTTTTGGGTTCCCCTGCACCTGAAGTTAAATCTGAAAACCCTTCATCCTAGAAATCCCCACTCCGCGGAAACACTCTGGAAGTTAAACAGCTTCGGGTTGCAGGTTTAGAGGTTTAGGCTTTGGGGCTCAGGAATCAGCAAAGGATTGGAAGTATGATCCTAAACTCTAAACTGCCTGAAACCGAAAACCCTCAACCCGAATCCTCACAGAACACCAAGTCGATAGCGCAGGTTTGTGACTTTAGGGTGTTTCGGCCTAGGGTGTCAGGGTCCGTTCAGAGTGGCTGGGTCGTGGAGTCGTCTTCCGAAGATAGGCCTTAGCAACCCGGCTAAACCCTAAACCCTAAACCGCAAAGTTTTCGCAAACAAGTGCCAAAAAACCGAGAAAAGTACAGGGTTGAGAGTGTTTGGGCTGCAGAGTTGCGCAGTACTCGAACCGGCTTGCATCACAATCCATGTCTGAAGCGTGTTTTTTCGATGACAAGACCATAAACCCTAAACCCCTAAACCTCAAAAAGCCCCCGAACTCTGTAAATCGAAGCTGCCAGCTTGAACCACCACAGATCATAGAATTTACCAGTGGTTCGGCTCAGGGGGTGCTCAGACCGTAGGGGTTTCGGGTGTAGCGGCTTAGGATATCCAGGCCTCCAGCGGCTCCAAACAGTTTGGCCTTGGTCTGCTGTTCTCAGAAACACGATGACTCTGAGGTTTGGCTGTCCTCCTCCTCCTCCCCAGTGTTTAGGGTTTTAGGGTTTAGGGTTCAGGCCATCTTCTCCGTGTTCTAGCCCTCATCCCTCATACCGTCGCCTGCCTCAGGCCCATCCCTTCGTCTAGCTGTCACACCACCCACTCTCAACCCCTCCTCCCTCGTCACCAATCCTCAGGCTCCTCCAGCCTTGAGGTTGTCCCCATCCTCAACATCGAGGAGTACGACCACTGCTGCTGCTGCTGCTGCTGCTGCTGCTGCTGCAACTGTATGCGCACAAACACGTTTACGGCTGAGTGTAGTTCTGCATGTGTGGCTGGGTTCAAGACTAGGTGTAGGGATTCCACTTACCAAGTACGTTCATCTACGGATCTACGTTAGCTGCCGTGGTTCCTGCTGCTTTTGCTGCTGCTGCTGCTACTGCTGCTGCTACTGCTACTGCTTCTGCTGCTGCGACTGCGACTACTACGACTACGACCATGACTATGACTATGAATATATGACTACGACTCTGACTCTGACTCTGACTCTAACTATGACTACTACTACTACTACTACTACTACTACTACTACTACTACTACTACTACTACTACTACTACTACTACTACTGCGACGACGACGACGACGACGACGACAACGCTTACGCGTACAGCTACGACTACGCCTACGCTCTCGACTACGACTACGACTACGACTATCACCACGACTGTGACTACGACTACGGCCAGTAATAAGAATAATAGTCACAATAAAAGAAACAACAATAATAATGGTAAGTAATCATACCTACGACCACCACTCTGCTATGCGCACTGATGATACAAGCAGGGCAACCTACCTGGCATCTAGGGCGCAGACCATCCTCGATGAACCCGTAGACAGAAAGGAGAGAAAGAGGAACTCTTGTTCGAGTGCTGCGATCGGAGCCAGGAAGCAGGGCCGCGCAATGTTCAGTAGGCCAAGAACTTCGGCGGTTCAGGGTTAAGGGTTTTGCGATTAGGGTTCGTAGAAGATTTACGTATTAAGATCTATGGATTTCCTTGAAGATATCTTGTCTTCACATCCTCACTGCAATCTTCAACAAGTACACCAAAAAATGATGTCGGAGTAGCAGGCTTCAGCTTCGGGCTAGCGGCTAGAGGAAAGTCCAGTCCAGGAATTACCCAGGTTGGCCCTTTAAAGCCTCTGAAAAATATTCGTAAATAGGGTCCTATTAAGCGTAAAATATACCAAAGGCCTACCTAGCTACTGTTTAGGTCCGAGGCTGTCAAAGGGTCAAGCGGAGAGGGGTTGGTGTAATAC